TACTACTGTTACTTCTTCTGGTAAAGGTAGTAAATATGCACTTGTTGGTATTAATCCAGATGTTTCAGTAGAAAAAACAGTTACTAGAGTTAATATTTATGAAAATATTGCTGAAGAAAGTTCTAAATGTAGTAATGCTGAAACAATTACTATTCCAAGTATTCATTATTCATATACAGAAAAGGCTCATTCATCAAGAAGTAAGTGTGGAGTTATTGCTGATGGATTAAAAGGAAAATGGTTTGTATATACTCCAAAAGATACAGAAAAAGTATCAATACAAACTGATGATGTTACTACTTTTAATACTCAAATTGGTGTTTATACTTCTTGCGAAATGCTTACTGATTTATCTGTACCAGGTGATTGTTATAAAGGGACTAACTTTTATAAATCACCAGTAGGACAACATGGTACTATTTTAACTACTAGATTAGAAAAAGGACAAACGTATTATATTTTTGTTGGAGGGGCTACATACAGTGATAGTGGTATGATGAGAGTTAAATTTGATTATTATGAAGGTGAATTGGATAATGAAGAAGATGGATTAAGTGGAGGTGAAATATTTGGAATTATTGTTGCTGTCCTTTTCTTAGTTGTTATATTACTTGTTGTTGGATTATTTGTTGGATATATTGGATATAAGAAATATCAAAATAAACACAATAAATCATCATTTGGAACTTTCTAATTCAAATTATTTTAATTCTAAAGTTGTAATTCTCTTTCATTATCTAAGAAACATGAATTAAAGACTTCTTAATTCAGCAATTCTTTTTTGATAATTATAAATCTCATTAAATTCTGTTTGAATTTTTCCTCCCATCTGTCCATAAAATTTAATTGCATCTTGTGCATTTTCATGTAAACCTTTCTTTAACAATACAAGTTCTTTTTGCAAAAAGTTTAACCTTAATTGAGTTGCATTTTTTGTTGTTGCATTTGTTTGTTCTTTTAATTCATCTTTCAATGATAAAATTTCTAGTTCAACTTCTTTTACTTTGATTTGTAATATTTGAACTTGTCGATCTAAGCTATACATCTCTGACATTTTATCATCTTTTTCTTCAAATGCTTGTAAGTCATAAAGATTTTTAGGATTTCTAGCTACATTAACAGAGTATGTGAATGTAATGAAAAGGAGTAACAATAACATAATGTTGATTTTCTTGATTTTTATTTTTTTTATAACTTTTCTTTTTATTTTTTATTTTTTTTTCATCTATAAAAGTTAACTTAAACTTCATTTAATTAATCTTAAGTCGTGAATACGTTAAGTTTCTTTACGGGGTTATTTGAATAAATATTATAAAATAACAAATAAGATAACAAGAGTGAGAGAAGTAAATTAATGACAACTTATCTTAAATTAAATTGTATTCCTTATTATAATACAACTAGTTGATGTAATAGAGTTATTAAAATAAAAGGGAGTAGAGGAAATAAAGTAGGGTTCAATTAATAAAGATGTTCAATATATGACTATGAAATATAAACAAGACAGATAATTTAAAAAAATTATAAAATAATTAAATAATAATAAATAGATTAATAGAATAATGAGAGTATGTAATATAACAATATGATACTCATAACAGAAAAACAAGTAAAAGAAGTAGAATAAATAAAAAATAAAAGGTATTAACAAAAATATAAATAAACAATAAGTTATGGTGTAATAAAATTAATTTGTTACAAATATTTTATTATTATTTTATTTGTTAATATTTAAAAAAATTCAAAATAAATGATAAATCAAAACATCAAAATTGAATAATAAAAAAGAAAAGCAAATTGTATATTACATTTTCTTATATCCAACAGGAACATAATATTTATTCCAAATATTGTTATTATGTATATATTCCTGTTTCATTGAATCAATCATTTTAATAAGTTCTTCTGCATTAGGTCTTTTATCAGGTTCTTCATCTACACAACTATAATACAGTTGATGTACTGATGGGGGTACATAATTTTTACAAGCCTCATTATATTCTTTTATTTCAAGAGTAGGTCGTTTACCTGCAGTAATTAAATTTAAAATAGCAAAGTCATTTGCTGAAGGAATATTATATTCTTTAAACCAAGGTTTTGTGTATGACCCAAACACAACTCTTCTAAAAATTTCCCAAAAAACAATTCCAAGAGAATAAATATCACTTTTTGTAGTATATAATCCAGAATGTCCATCACTTGGAATAATTTCAGGGGAACAATATGGTATTGTTCCAGACAATTCTTTTAAATCTTTTTCTCGATTTTCAGTAGTATCAAATCGACTCATTCCAAAATCACTAATTTTTAATGTATAATCATTTGTTACAAGAACATTTAATGATTTAAAATCACGATGAAGAATAGATGGTTTATTATTATGTAATACTCCTAATCCAACACTCATTTGTTCACAAAAATTTAATGCAGTAGGAAAA